GCCTAGACCCTTCTTCAGAATTTCTGAAGAAGGGTCTAGGCCCGAAATGTCAGCCTTCCTGCTCCTCTGATGCTGCTTGGCCTGCTGTGTTCATCCAGCTCTACACCTTGTTATCTCAGACCTGCATTCCGACCTGGACTGAAAGGTGACAACTGCAGCATTCACAACATACAAGTGGTAGGCAATGGCTAACTCCAAAATAACAGAATGTAAGAACTCCCCTTGATGCTCACTTAATGGTATTACCATTGCTGAATCCCTCACTATCAACATCCTTGGGGTGGGTTTGGAGTAGGGTGAGGTAGGTGGAGTGGGAGTTCACCATTCACCAGGAACTGAACTGAATGTATAAACATTGTGGCTACATTAGCAGGCCAGAGCCTGAGAACGCTTAAGTGCATAACATAATTCCTGTCCCTGCAAAACCTGACCGACCACATACAAGTCAGAAGTGTGATGGAATGATCTCCATTTGCCTGAATGGTGAGCAATCAATTATCTCATCAACACCAAGCACAAAGCAACCTGCTTGATTGGTACCTCGGAGATAGTCGGAACTGCAGATGCTGGAGAATCTGAGATAACAAGGTGTAGAGCTGGATGAACACAGCAGGCCAAGCAGCATCATAGGAGCAGGAAGGCTGATGTTTCGGGCCTAGACCTCATAACCCTAACCCTATCTCATCCATGTACTTAAGCATTCACATCTGTCACCAAGATGCACACTGGCAGCAGTGTGTACTATACACAAGACACACTGCAGCAACTCACCAATTCTCATTCTATAGCTTCTTCCTAATACACAAACTCTATACCTCAAAGGACAAAAGGCAGAGACTCATGGGAACATTGTCATCAGCAAGCTCCCCACTAAAGGACACACCACCTTGACTTGGAACTATGCAACTGCTCCTTTTCTCTCACTGCATCAAAATCTTGCATACATCCAGTGAACATCACCAGCAAAACTAGCACTTTTATTTCAGAAAAATCAAGCATTAGACATATTATGATCCAACTTCTGGCAGAGCAAATACCACCACACAATAACAGCTCAGATGCAAAAACCAGCACTTGTTGTTGCCTGTCCCAAATTTCCCTTGAACTGAGTAACCCATTTCAGAAATGGGTCACATGTGGGCCCGACCAGGTAAGGGTGGCAGATTTCCTTCCTGGTGGGCATCAGTGAACTAGTTAAATTTTGACAACAATCAGTGATAGTTATAGAGATAGAGACATAGACATGTGCAGCATGGAAACAGACCCTTCAGCCCAATTCTTCCATGCTGACCAGATATTCTACATTAATCTAGTCCCATTTGCCAGCATTTGGCCCATAGCCTTCTAAACCCTTTCTATTCTGACACTCTTCAGAAATGAGTCATGCTATCCTGACGTCACTGAGACTGGTTTGGTAAAATGCTATTAACTGAATTTAAATTCCACCAGCTATAATGGTAAAATTTGAATGCACATCACCATAGAGTTAGCCTGGAACTCCAGACTACTAGGCTAGTGACCTTTACCATTATACTACCATCTCCCTCAATGATGGCATACCTGCACCAGGTGGACTGCAGTTCATGAAGGTGGCTCATCACCACATTCTCAAAAAATATTGGCCGAGCCATTGATGCCAACACTCAATGAAAGAATTAAAATTAATAGCCTCCTTCTGTGCTGTTTTATGATTCAATGACATGTCGTTGTTTAGGAGGTCATGTTTGAAACAAGATTCTGTGCAAATGGAAATGCTGATTAAGAAAATAAAAGCCGAAAGAACTGCGGATGCTGTAAATCAGGAACAAAAACAGAAGTTGCTGGAAAAGCTCAGCAGGTCTGGCAGCATCTGTGAAGAAAAAAATCAGAGTTAACGTTTTAGGTTCAGTGACCCTTCCTCAGAACCCGAAACATTAACTCTGATTTTTTTCTTCACAGATGCTGCCAGACCTGCTGAGCTTTTCCAGCAACTTTGTTGCTGATTTAGAAGTTTACACAATAGTTCACTACAATAGTAACTCAGAATCTGAGCATTATAGCACTCTCTCCCAGCACCTGAGTTACACCCACACCCTCTCAAAAAGATCAGCCCTCATATTGTGCCTTACATGACCTCATGTCCGAATGTGCCCGACAGCAAATGAAGTGCACCTTAAGTTATTTTAAAGTATGAAACCTTTCGTGTGGGAACCTTCCAGTTTTTGCAGACCGTTAGTTCGCCATCAAACATAAAGAGAAAACATTTCAGTTTCTCATACTCACAGTAGCCACGAGGTAAAGCAGGCTCTGGCCTGGAAGTTGTCCATTTCCACGTGTATTTGGGTGTAGGTTTACCTTCTGCTGAGTGACATCTTAGGGTCACATTGCTGCCAACATATTGGTTTCCAGCAGCGATGGTGCATTTTGGAGTGGAAGGTGGAACTGAATAAGGTATATGAAGAGAAAACAGACGTATATGAAGTGGTTATTAGTACAATGATAGAATAGAATTGATACAAAAGTTCTTAAAAGGATACATCTGTGTACAAGCTGAGTAACAATTTACAAAATATTGCAATTGCTATAATGCTCAAGGATTTACTACATGTGTTATTTCATATAGACAGTTAAATTTGCATTCTCTGATGTGCACAGAGAGTGGGTTATGGCAGTAAATCAAAAATGCTGATTAGCAATTAGAATCATAACCATAAGGAACATTACACAATACCACATTACACAAGGAGAGGTGATGGCCGAGTGGTGTTATCACTGGACTGTTAATCCAGAGACCCAGGTAATGTTCTGAGGACCTGCGTTTGAATCCCGCCATAGTGGAATTTGAATTTAATAATTAAAATAAATATGGAATTATCATCTAATGATGACCATGAATCAATTGTTGGAAAAACCCATCGGGTTCATTAATGTCTATTAGGGAAAGAAATGGCCATCCTTATCTGATCTGGTCTGCATGTGACTCCAGACCCACAGCAATGTGGTTGACTTTTAACTGCCCTCTGGGCAATTAGGGATGGGCTATAAATGCTGGCCTAACTAGTGATGCCCTCATTCCATGAATGAATAAAAAAAACTGCAGCTTTCTCAAGGTCAGTATAGACCATCACTCTCAATACATGATCAAAGCATCTTTCCATGATGGGTCCTGAATACACTGAGTGAAATCTACTTTCATGACACTAGTGTAAAAATGGACACAGAATCATGGCAAAAGCAGTGATAAGGTCACTCAGAAGAATAACTCTGAACATTGTCATTTCAGACCATAGCCCACAATGTGCAAGTGAGTGTTCGTTTATGAGTACAATGCCAGTTCACCTCACAATCATTAAGCAAATGGAGAAGCTTGTGAGAAGTGCAAATAATAAAAGTGTTACTAAAGAAGAACAATGATTAAATGTTGCACTACTAAGTTACTGATCCTCACTGCAGCAGATTGGGTTCTACCTGTCTAAGTTATTGATGGACAGAAGACTAAGAACGTAGCTCCATCTCTGCCCTAGAAACTACTACCCAGCATCATTTGGAACGACCAGAGGAGAGTGGGACAGTACAAGGGAAAGCAGATGGACGACCAAGCTTGAAACCTCAATAAAAGGTACAGAGCTCAAGACTTACCTGAGCTACAGCTTGGGGTGAAGGCATGGGTAAGAAATTAACAGAAGAGAAGGAGTGATCGTAGCAAAAGAAGTACAACAGCTAGGATAATGTATGATTGAAATAGATCGTGGGTCTATAAGGAGAAATCGTAATGCTTTGACTTAATTGAATAAAAAAATTAATCAGATCTTGGAAATTGAGGGAAAAGAATCATTGACAACCACACAGGAGATATATACTTGCACTGAAAGAAGGAAAAGTACAAACTGGCCTCAGAAAGAGACACTTTACACTGGTATGCTAATTGTACATTGATTTACCAGTCTAGAGTAACTTGTTCTGTGGTTGTATGAAAATATGCTGTCCCTGAGGCTGCTTGCTCCTTGTTCCAAAGTAAAACTCTTCGAATAGTTATCTATTGTAAGATTCCTTTATTTACATTTGTATACAGTAGGATATCAAATAGCACTCTCTAGTGTAGTCTCTAAGAATTCTCTTCACATTCTTATTCTAGAGTGGTGTTTTCTTCCTGATGTCAGAGTCATGTGACGAGTTACACTATGATATGTTACATAAATCCCATTATACCACAGAGACCTCAACCAGATTGAGAGATTGGTCAAAGCAGCATGGAAACCAACCTCGTGAAGCCTAAGATTTTGGAAGAAATATTTACAATAGATATATAATAATTTAGTTAAAGAGTTGAGGGGAAATGTAGAGGAATGGGATTAACATCAGAATCAAAAATAATAATGACAATGATGATGCAGTGATGATATCAGAGGCACTGATGAAGGAGGGAGAGCTGGCAAGGAGCAGAAGCTTCAATCTAGAGTGAAGACAACAGGTTTTTTGATCAATAAATAAAAGTGTTGTTGCAGAAATTTCCATGAACTCCAACAACACCGCTTTGACAGACCAAATAGAGTTATACCCCAGACATAGAACAAAAGGATGGAGTCTCCTTAGGTGCAGGATAATGTAAATTTTACTGTATTTTATTCTTTCATGAAATGTGGACATCACTTACAAAGCTAGCATTTTTGCCCTTCCCTTATAGCACCTGAACTGAACTGCTTGCTAGGCTATTTCAAACAGCAGTTAAGAATCAACCACATTGTTATGCCATTACTATATCCCAAAATTAATCGAAATAACAGTCAAATGTAAGCAAATGAAATCTGTTATGAAAGCTGTTCGCCTTCAACTCTACAATTTTTCCCACCCTCTTCTAAGAATGCTGACCTGTAATTTTGATGTGAGGGGGGGAGAAATGGCAAAGATCTGGGGTGGAACCCAGTCGCGGTACCAACTTTTGTTTTTGCTCTATCAGAAGTTCTAATGAGAGTTAGCCAAGACAACGTGAAGCATCTGCAGACTATCTCATGATTTCCACCCAATATGCCACTCATAAAACCCAGCAGCTCCTTCCTCCACTGATAGC